GCTACTTGTGCTTGACTTCTGTGGTCTCATATCTTTCTTAATACTTTTTTTTTTTTTTGCCATTGCCCAGAATTCTCCAGGTTGTGATGAGTTAATTCTTGTGTTCCATATTGTGCAGCAGTCCTCTAGACCTCTCCTACAGACTGCTCCTGACAACTTGAAGGCCACACGTCTCCTGGCATTTGGCGTTGATGGCACCCCCACCCAATCTCCTTGATGAGACCACTAAGTTCTCCTATTTAGATTCCTAGTTACGTGAAAAACTCTCCCCAGAAAAATGTCTTTAAAAGGTTCTGTTATTCACACCCATTGAGGATAAGACCACTACCACAGTTTAGAGCCAAATTTGAATCGAGTTTTAATTAAATACTGTCCAGGTGGATGGGCTCTGGGCAGGTCCATACCCAGATTCCCAGGAAATGGCCCCAACTCACAGTTTTTAAGGGTTTAAGTTATTTCCCATCAGGTCCAATCAGGGCAAGCATACATCTTGACATTTTTCCTGCCTATGTCCCGCCAGCCTATAACCAATCAGGGATATATTCCTGCCTGTATACCTCCTACCCACATGTGATCAAGCACATCTGGTGCAGATGGGTCAAGGAAACTTGTTTAGGGGAGTGAAAACATGTGGCTTGTTATCTCTCACAAATAATAGCCTTCTGCATTTCAGGAACTATCTGTCCTTGGGCCAAGGGGATTGCAGATCAGAGGCATTTTTGTTTCATGGATCGCTTAGACATAATAATTAAAACTTAAAATGTAACTTTGGCTCTCACAGTACCTCAGTTCACTCAGGCAAAATCTATAAGCATGAGACATCTAGACAAGTGCCTGAAAAGAGTTTACACCTATATTTAACGCACTGTCCACATTGCCAACTTAGTGATAAATGAGGAATGTACATGATCCTAAGTCAATTCTATAGATGTGTGGGGGATCTTAATCTATGTAAGTTAAGGAAAACCTACAACGTTCTGTGATGCTGTTATTTCATTGATTCCCACATGCCCACATTGCTTTCATCAACACCTTGGTACCAAATCAGATAGTTAATAGCTTAAATTTTATAAGCTATCTGAAAAAAAAATGCAGCTTACTTATTTGAGGCATTGAATTTCACTCTCCTCCATAAAATGGCCCTTAGGTGTTTTACTCTAGATTTAGCCTTTTTCTTCCAATGCAAGGTTGTTGTAATCTATATTGGCCATGAAATGGAACCCAAAGATTTCTTAAATTTCTGTAAGTTTTGCTGCTAAACAGTCACAGCATTGTGAAAATCAAGTGGGCAATATAAGCAGATCTCAAACACAAGCAGACATTTTCATACATATTCCTGGTACTGGATGTTTAAAAGAGGCATAATTCATAAACTATTTTTTCAGATCTTCTAAGTGTTTTGACTCACTCTGTCAACTAGGTAAAAATGCTTGTTTTTTGAAAGAAAACGGCCCCCAAAGGGAGTGGCACTATTAGGAGGTATGGCCTTGTTAGAGTAGGTATTGTCTTGTTGGAAGAGGTGTGTCACTGTGGGGGTGGGCTTTGAGGTCTCCTATGCTTAAGCTATGCCCAGTGTTACAGACAGTTGTCCACTTCCCATTGCCTGCAAGATGTAGAACTCTTGGCTACCTGTCCAGCACCATGTTTGCCTGCACGCTGCCATGTCCCACCATGATGGTGATGGACTAAAGCTCTGAAACTGTAATGTTTTCCTTTTATAAGAGTTGCCATAGTCATGGTGTCCCTTCATAGCAGTAGAAACCCTAAGGCAATGCTCATCTATTTAAAGTCTTCCATCTCTCTGATACGTATTTCTCTATATATATGGTCTTGGGGTATTTGTTTTGTATATGCCACATTTCCAAGATGCCCATGGAGGCCAGAAGATGGTGTCAGATTCCCTAACACAGGAGTTATCAAGAAGTTGTGAGCTGCCTGAACTGCGTGCTGGGAACAGAACCTGGGCCCTCTAGAAGAAACACTGAGAAAGCCTTCATCTTTGCTGATGTTCCTAATCTTCACAATCTCCAGGCAACCTGGCTCCTTGGGTGCTGCATGATCTTGATTGTCCAGATCAGGGTGGATTTTGTTGTTGCTTGAGACAGGGTTTCACATAGTGCAGGCTAGCCTCAAACTCTGTATCAAAGGATCACTGTGAACTTTGAATCCCTGTCTCAATTCCCTGAATGCTGGAATTACAGGTGGGATGCTAGGATGGAACCTAAGTCATGCCTATTAAACAAGCACTCAATTGAGCTACATCTCCAGACTGGAATCAACTATATTTATTTTGTGCATGGTGCATGAGTAGGGGTTTCTAACTGTTCACACATGTATGTGGGCCAGAGGCTAATTTCAGGAGGCTTCCTCAGTCACTATCCACTTTGGTTTCGGAACTGTCTTTTGATGAACATGGAGATCACATTCAGCTAGTCTGATGGTCAACAAGACCCTTTGGTCCTCCTGTCTCTGCCTTCTCAGAACTGGGATTACAAGCACTAGCCACTGCCCATGGCTTTTAAGTGGGTGTAGAGGCTCCAAACTCAGTTCCTCATGCTTGTTTGGCTATATCCTCCAGCCCCATGAATCAGTTATTTTTTGAGAATCTATTTTTTTTTAAGATTTATTTATTTATTATGTACACAGTGTTCTGCCTGCATGTATGTCTGCAAGCCAGAAGAGGTTGTGAGCCACCATGTAGTTGCTGGGAACTGAACTCAGGACCTTTGGAAGAGCAGGCAGTGCTCTTAACCACTGAGCCATCTTTCCAGCCTGAATCAGTTTTTTAAAAGAGAATATTATAGGGTCAAGGGCTCTATTTCTTTAGTATGATGGTATGATAATGCGTTGAATAATTCAGAAGCCTATCTGACATGCTAACTCATACACCCTCAGAGGCCTGAACCATTTAAAAGTACATTTTAAGTATAATAGAATATACGTTTAGATGGGGCTGGAGCATTAGCTGCTCTTCAAGAGGACCCAGGTTTGATTCCCAGCACCTACACAGTGGCTTACAACTATCTGTCATTCCAGTTTCAGAGAACCCAATGCCCTTTTCTGGCCTCCAAGATATATGCATGTAACACAATACATATACATATAAAATAATAGTAATAAAAGTAAGTATAGATGAACATATAGATGCTTCCTAATTTGGAAACAGATTGAAGAAAACATTTATCTAGGGCTATGATATGTACGTTTGCATTAAGGAGAAGGTAAGATTTGTTTATCCAAACTTCCTACAAAATCCCTACAACATGGTGAATGGGTGTGTGGCTCCATGGAAAAGCATTTGCTGAACAGGTTCTCAGCCCTGAGCTTCATTCCACCACTGAAAGAACAAACTTGGCAGAGGGTTGAAACACAGCCCAAGAATAGAGTTGTACAAGGGGAATTCTGGGTGCTTGTGAGAAAACTCCAAGAAAACAAGAGTCTTTGGACCTCAGTTTCTCCAAAAACACAGAATTGTCCTTTTAATGTGCTTTTGTGCCCCTCCCAGGTGTAGTGGACAGGAGTGAGCTTACTTCAGCTGTTATTCATATACCTCTGTGGAAGAAGATGCTTTTGCCAAGTGTGGCTTATCCTTTTGATTGAACTCACGTGACTCTTCTTAATCCACTGGGTATAAATTGTCTGATGCTCTGAATAAAACTGGCTCTTGCATAGTCTGCTAATTTTTAGCATGAACCTATCTCCAAGGTTCATGCTGCCAACTAGAGCAGTAAACAAAAGTTATATTATTCACACAGATGGAAACTATCCCTGTCCCCCTCCCCCACAACTAGTTGTATCTGATAGATACTTACTGCTTGACGTCATAGAGTCAGCTATTTGGCTCAGAAGGCTGCTTACTGAAGAGTGTAGAAGGGTAATAAGACAGAAGGATAGCAGCCATAAGTAACTTGCCATCCTACTTTTTGCATCAACAAAAAGTGATGAGGATATTCTCTAAAACAAGGAAACTGCTACAACAGCAACCTTTCCTTTTTCTTCAAATCTCCTAATCATTTTGATAGACAGATTTAGCAAAAGTTGGTGGGTGGGAGGGCCTTCCTCCAACTTCTCTGTCCCATTTCCTGGTCTCTCAATTTCTGTGCATTCAGTCCAGTTTCTCAGACTTTTATTGACATCTTCCTGAGGGAAGAATCTCAAAATGTATTTAATCAGGCTGCACTTAACTGATTTTCATCTATTAAAATATAAATGCTTCTTTATTAAAATATAAATGCTCCTCTTATGGGCCAAATATTATTTCTCATTAGACTAAACTTGCTTAGTGGGCAAGAGGCTCTGGGTTCAATCTCAGCAGTGAAAACAAAACAGCTCACAGCTAGTTGGATGTCTACAACAAAAACAAATTGTTTTTGGTGATTGTGACTATCAATGTCATTCTGAGTTTTCTATATTCCAGGAAATAAAAAATGTTTGTTTTGTATTATAGAGAATCACTTTGGGACAAGGTACAGTGGAGACACGGTACAGAGGAGACAAATGCTATAGTAAGCCTCAAGAAACATGGAAGAATCTGAACATGGCTTAATTGGTGCTAACATTAATGGTATTAATTTCTTTGACTCAATAAAGAACTATGAAAAACAAACAGGCTATTACCCAGTTTCTGCCAACCAAGAGGCTTAACTCTTCAGCCTCAAGAGGCCTTATCCTGTAGTGCAGTCTCTGCTGTATTTCAGTAATAAAAAGCATGCATGGGAGCCCATTCCACATAGAGGGATACTCCCTGAGCCAAGACACACGGGGGTGGGCCTAGGCCCTATCCCAAAGGATATGATAGACTCTGATGACACCCTATGGAAGGCCTCATCATCCAGGGGGAGCAGAAAGGATATGTGATAGGTAGGGTTTTTGTGGGGGTGGGCGTGGTAGGGGAGGACCAGAGGGAGAAGGGAACTGGGATTGTCATGTAAAACAATCTTGTTTCTAATTCAAATAAAAAATCTGAAACAAACAAACAAACAAAAAGCATGCACAATTCATTAAAAATTTAGACAAGGCTTTATGTTATATTTATTTATTCTCCAGCTTGTACAAACTGGATGTAGAAGCATAAACATAGTACATTTCTACCATCTTCAACAAAAATATAACCAATATGTACAATTATTGTATTAAAAATACAAAAGGGATACAGACTCCACCAATGTCTTTCTAAAAGACATACAGGTACAAGTAGTATCAAAAGTATGAGGAAATCACCAGTTAATTTTACATTCTGCACTTGACATCACAGAGCGAACTGAGATTAGCAGTCCTATGTTCTACAATTACTTAATGTTTAGATAACATCTGTGCAATTTGTGATAGAGCTAGATTTTTGTCTTTCTATATGCACATGAGGTCCATAGCCTATATAGTAAAACTGGCAATAATGCATATTACATGTAAAATTACAAATGCGTAAGTGACAATGTGATACATAGTAGACAAATGCCATGACATAGAAGAGAATTATTAAATAAAGCACTGACATTGTTTGACACAGTGAAAAAACACTGCAATTCGACCTTTAAAATTTGAAGCTATTTACGTTTATCTACTGATCAATATGATCAGCTGAATTTAATGGAAAAATCCAAGACCAGCAGCCCCTCACATCTGAGTACTACTCGGATTGGCAGCCTTCACTTTTCCGGAGTCTGTGCAAAAACAACACAAAAATAGAACGGTGGGGGTCATTTTCAGTCATTCTAGGGTTCATAGCAGCTGTGAGCAGATGGGCGCTACACTTAGGCCTTCTCTATATGCAGCGTCCACGAAGCCACTTACAGGTCAGTCTTTGGTGACTAACCCACCTTGCAAAGGCTGGTGTATCTAACCACGTGACCTTTAATCCTGTTTAAAGACATACTCTCTGGTGCCAATTCAACAAGGGGAGGCTGTCTTGAAAGAGCAGTACGAACAGCTGGCATTCACTCCAACACCCCAAGCTGCTTTACTGCGATGTTATCCAGTTATGTTTCTTTCTTTTAAAAAATAAAAACAAAAAGCTCTAAAACTCTAAATTAACAAAACTTGAAACAACAAAAAAAAAACCAAAAACAAAAAATAAAAAACCATAACTTAAAAACAGGGGTTGCCATCCATTGTAATTGGGCAGGACACACTCCCAAATAACACTGTCCTGCCTCATAAGGCTCAGACAGGACACTCGAGTCCTCGTTCCCTCCCCTGGCCATGTGCAAACAGTTTTACATTAGAACCTCACCCACTGGGGAAGAAGCAGGTGAGGAGTCTTGGTATTTAAGTAATTGGCTAACGTTTGATGCTTCTGGGATAGGGCACTTCTCAGGCAAGGCCAGGACATGGGAAGACATCGTCACTGCTAGGTCTTTCCTTGGTGCGGCCATACCCTGTCCGGCATATTTGGTTTTTCAGAAACCCAGGCTGGCAATCCTACTTAAGGTCAAAATAATACTGTAATCATTAAATGGATATAACATTTACTCTCTGAACACAATCTTTAAACTCATTTTTTAAAGGATATTGTAAACAAGTGGACAAAGCACTGTACTCAAAGGATTTCATGTCTGTCTTTGTCTTCCTTGGTGGGTTCAAGACCCCAAGTAGTTCAAAGGCTAGCTTTTCTCATCTTCTAAATGAGATCGAGGGCTAGGGCTGGATTGAAATCTAAGAGGAAGATTGAAAACTCCTTCCAGGCTTGGAGAAGTGTAGCCAGAGGGAATCACCTCACGATGATCTTGGAATCTGGAATGATACTGTGTGATGTGGCAGGCAGCAGCTCGGAGACTGCTGGACTGTGCATCTCAAGCAATAAGGTCTGCAAAGTGCCAGGGCAATTTCTTCACAGTATTTCACATGCAAAGGGGAAAGGAAGAAGGGGAGAAGAAGCCCCATGCTGCTTTAAGGCAGGGAAGGAGGCAAACTGGTCCACCATCCTCAGGATGTGCGTGCCAAGGCTCCAATGCTTCCTACATCTTGTGCTCTCCTTTTGGTGGCTCGCTCTGGTTTAAGAAGCCTGTGCCTCAAACCGCAGACACCTGTTCATCTTCTGCACGTGCAGCAGGAGGGAAAACAAAGTAAGTAAAAAGTCAACATGTAGACAATGTTTTTGTGCTATCATGTTCGCTTGGGTTAAGAAAATACGTATTTAATGTAGCTCGCTTAAAACCCTTGCATTTTTGGCAAACAGTTATTGGTAACTTTAAAAGTTTAAAAATAGGTGCATCATGCAAATCTTTAAACACATATACACAATATATCTGTATATATCTGGGGGGGATTGAGATGGGTTTCTCTATGTAGTCCTGGCTGTCCTAGAACTCTCTATGTAGGGAGGGTTGGCCCTGAACATGAAGAGATCTACCTGCCTCTGCTTCCAATACTTGGAGTATATAAGCACTTGGCTTATACACACTATTAAAAAGGCAGCTGTGTGTGGTCATTCAGGTCCATAATTCCAGTACCCCGGAGTTAAACCAGGAGCAAGTATCTGAGGCCAGTCTGGCCTGTCTTAAAAAGTTACAATTGTGATGTCTAGGTTGTCTCCTTGACAAACCTAGAAAGAGGGTATTTTAGGGAACTGTCTCTATTAGAGTGCCCTGATTGCTAACTGATGTAGGAGAGCCTCACCCACTGTAGGTGATGCCATCCCTAGGAAAGTGGGCCTTGGTTGTATATAAGCGATGATGTATGTGAGTTGGGGAGTAAGCCAGAAAGCAGTGTTTCCCATGGTCTCCACTTCAGTTCCTGCTCCAACTTCCCTGAATTATGTATGAGCTGTTGCATGGAATGTAATAAACCCTTTGCTCCCCAAGTTGCTTTTGGTCAGAATGTTTTTATAACAGCAAAATAAACCAAAATGAGATGACAATAAATAAATAAAATCAAATACATTGCATGCTTATTTGTTGGAAAGTTATTAATAACTATTTAAGTTCTATTCTAAGATTTATTTTTAAGCATATGTATGCCTGTTTCTGTGTGTGGTATGTGCATGTGAGTACAGTTGTCCATGGAAGCCACAGAGATGATTAGCTCCCCTGGAGTAAGAGTTTTAGGCAGTTGTGAGTAACACTATATGGGTGTTAGAACCTGAATTTCACTACAAGGGCAGTATACACTCCTAACTATAGACCCGTGCGTCGAGACCTTCCTTTAATTTTTTCTTGGTGGGGGGACGAGGGAGGGAGGGAGGGAAGGAGAGAGAGAGGGAGAGAGAGAGGGAGAGGGAGAGGGAGGAAGAGAGAGAGAGGGAGAGGGGGGGGGAGGGAGAGAGAGAGAGAGAGAGAGAGAGAGAGAGAGAGAGAGAGAACCACAGAGGCCTGCAGAGTGTGTTGGTTGTCTCTGCTTTTGGAGTTACAGGCTGCTGTAAGCCACCCACATGGACATTAGGAACTGAACTCTGGTCCTCTGGTAAACCAACAAGAGTTCTTAGCTATTGAACCATCTCTCCAGCCTCAAGCCCCTCATTTTTAACAATACAGTTAAGAGTCTAGAAGTCCTCTGCTCGAGGACTGGGGTTTGCTTCCCGAACCCACATGGCAGGTCACAACCGTCTATAACAGTTCTAGTGGATCAAATATCTTCTGGTCTCCACAGGCAACAGGCACACACACTATATATGTATTTAATTATTATGTTTTGGACTTTGCTATAATGGTTGTATAGTAAAGCATACCACACTGAATACTTAAAAATTGAAGGACAGGATCTCCTCCTTGCCCTAAACGCAGTGTTAGCAGGAACATCCGTAGAGAAGCAGAGAGCCCTAAAGTGTGCATAGCATTTACTAGCCCTTCATTTCCAAGCCACTTTCCACCCAGTAAGTGTCCAACTGCAATGCTCCGACTGAAAATGTGAACCAGCCATGTTTCAGTACATCAACAGGTTTCTCTGAATTCCTAAAATGAGCAGCAACCAGAAGTTTTTATTCTTATCCTTAAAACAGAGCCACAAAAGAACTTCAGTTTTACTAAATATTGTCCTAGAAATCCAGGCCAGGCTGTCTAGGTAGAACTTGCCTAGCATCCAGTAGATTCTGGCCTCTACCCCTAGCCTGAAAAAGACCAAAACTCCAGCCATGTGCACACTTCCTTACAAGCAACCCTTCTGTAGCACTTCCTAAACCATTAAAAAGTTCTTCCTCCTGTCAAAGAGCAGAAAAATCCTCCACAGCAAGCCTGACCCTTCCAAGTAAGTGGGACCAAGAGCTAGGTGGATTAAGTAAGAGTGGGGAGCCTACCGTCTTCCTCAGTGGCGGTGCCAGCAAAGCCCTGTGGCTGGAAGGGTGCTAGGCGAGGGTCTGCATCACTGGGCTTGTGCCATTGCGGTTTGTTTCCTGGCCTGCTGGCTGCAGGAGGCGTCTGCACTGGAGCTGGGGCCTCGGTGGGCCGCGCTACCATGCGGGACCGCTGCAGGGCCACGTTGTAGTCTGGAGGCTTCCGTGCTGGGTGGCAAGGCCCTTCAGGGAAATCAGCGATGGGGATGCCCACATAGCCTGGAGGTGTGGGCGGCGGTTCTCGGTACCTGCCCTCCTTCCGTGCTGCAGAGAGAAGCCAGGGTGTCAGGTCAAGGCCTTTCATGCTGCATAAACTGCAGGATACAAGCACCGTTCAAGACACTACAGGGAACTAAGCTGTCTGCAGCAAATACCAGATGGTTTCTGTGCAGTGGATAACTGCTGAGCAAAGCAACTACTATAAACCAAGGGAGTTCAACTAAAATAGGTGAGTTTAAAACTAACCTACTCTTAGCCCTACTGTGAGGATTAAAGCAAAACAAGGTACAAGAGGTACCAGGAGCATGCCTGGAACACATCAGTGTACGGTAAAAAAAAAAAAAATCAATCAATCAATCAATCAATTTCCTCTCCTCTCTGTACCTAGAGAGGGGTTAACAGTTCATGTTTGTTAGGAATTTCCCAATATTATCAAATGGAGAATCAGTTCCACGTTTTTCTAAGTCTCTAAGTTTCACTTTGGAAAACAATAAATTAAAATAAAATTAGAAACATGGTACAGGATGCAAACTTTAAAAGCCCTGGAAACAAAAAAGGCAGTTGCTTTTCTTTAAAACCCATGATTTCATTAATGAAAAACCTTTAGTCTCTGCGAATCAAAACACGAAATTTGTGAAACTAAATACAACTTAAGCTTTCTTTTCTGGATTTTGTTAGGAACTAGACATCATTTTCCTTTCCTCTTTAGCAATAAAAATTCTGAGAATTAGTTAGTGGAAAATGGTTCAAAACAACCAACCCAAGAATTTTGAACTGTTACTTCCTTACTTGTCTTTATGAGTATTAAATTTGATATCCATACATCATTTTTTATGTGGCTACATCACTCATTAATACAAACGATGCTTGCATTCTAGAAGCTTCTCTCTGTACCTCATAATCTATCTTACAGTTCTATTAGACAGACAGTCATTATACATGCTTCAGAGACTGGAACCCATGACAGGAACACACTTGTCTTTACACCAGAAAGGACATCAGTATCTTTCAGGGGCCCCTGATTTGGTGGCACTGTCATCAGTCAGACCTCTTCCATCCTCACACTAACCCTATTAAGATAAAATTCTTGAGCCAGGCAGTGGTGGCACACACCTTTAATCCCAGCACTCAGGAGGCAGAGGCAGGTGGATCTTTGTGAGTTCAAGGCAAAGACCTGGTCTGCAAAATAAGTTGCAGGCAGGACAGCCAGGGCTACACAGAGAAACCCTGTCTCAAAAAACTTTAACATATATATAATTGGTGCTGGAGAGATGGCTCAGTGGCTACGACAACTGGCTGCTCTTCCAGAGGACTTGGGTTAGATTCCTAGCACCACAAAGCAGCTCACAACTGTCTCTAGCTGTAGGGGACCTGACACTTTCACACAGATATACATGCAGTCAAAACACCAATGCACATAAAATAAAATAAATATTTTTTAAAAGATAAAATTATGAAGCTTGCTTTACAGATGAGTAGGCATAGCTGAGTGAAGTGTTGAGACAGGGATTCTAGCTCTGCCTGATCCCCTCCTGTGCTTTTACTCACCTCTGAGTTCTTTACCCCCTGTTTTAGCATGCACAAAGAATTTGTTTAGTAGAAACAAATTGTCTGCATAACAAACAAAATGAAAAATTTCAAAAGTACAAAGGATAAAGAGTTCTTGATACAATTCAAGGGGACAAGAGAATAATAAACCATTTTTTCCCAGTTTCAATGAAAGGAAATCACTCCTCTGTAAAGAACACAGGCACCTAGTCTAATAATTTTCAGGCAGTATCAACAACCTATTGACTCTGAGGGCTAAGTTTTATTGAATGTTGAATTGCATTGTTTCTGACCGCAAACTTGGCCCTAGTCATTTGGACCGCAGTGCTGATCTGGATCCTAACGTGTCGACGGACAAACTGGAGGGAGAAACCAATTTCCACCCATGGTCCAGGTACCCCCCCCAGCATTCCATTTCCATACTTACCAATGAGCCCCTTTGTAGTACTTGACGTCACAGCTATATGGGCAGGCATGGGGACAGGTTTGGCTTCCTCTGTGGTCACAGGCACCAGGTTGCTACTTTCTGTCTCAATGGAGACATCCTTGCCACCCCTTCGCTTGATAGTGCCCGTGTCACCTTCTGAATCTTCTCCCCAGTAGCCTGTGGAAGATGCCCAGCTTGCCCGTGATTGGGCTTGTTCAAGACTCTCTCTACTTTGATTTTGTCTATTATATTTTGTGCTATGATCAGAAAACATAATTTGGTCCATATGGCCACCAGAGGCCCATATGCCTGCAGCATCCCCTGAATAGTCAAAGTGAGTGTGCCCAAACGGCAATGTTTCCCAGCTTCTCTGGTGCTGGATGGTCTGGATGTTATCATGGGAACCACTTGAACATGATGTCCAGCTCCCACGACCGCTGTCAGCAGCATCGAGGGAAGCACGGTCCCCTTGGTCATGGGAGAGCTCCTCTGCGCTAGGAGAAGAGATGACAGTTGCTGCGGCGTACAGGCCTCGGCTTTCAGACACTGGGGCATATGACCTATATTGTCCAAAACAAAGGAAAGGAAGGTGTGAGAGTGTTAAAGAAACTTTTGCTGATTAACTGTTTTGCTGCTTTGAGACAAGCTCTTGGTTTGTAGTTTAGGCTGGCCTTGAACTCATGAACCTCTTACCTCAGCCTCAGTGCTAGAATAATAGGCTTGAGCCACTATGCCTATAAAATATCTTTTCCCCTAGAAAAGTGGTTTTCTTTCATCCCAGAGAAAGGAAGAAAGTATTCTTGAATGGGATTAGAGTGGCCAGTTATGTCATATCATTCATTTACCTTTTTACAAAGCAAAAATGGGGAAGAGACCAACAACTTGCTACAAAAAAGGAGCACTTTCCTTACAAGGCTCATGGTGACTGAATATACTGTGGTTACCTATGGAACGCAGCTCAGACAAATACTGGGGTGTGTCCTACTGGTACAGTCTTCCTCCAGCACAGAGCCCCAGTGGACCACAGGAGAATAAACATAACTACAAAAGCAGTCTGCATTACAAAAATAGCGTGGCACTTAATAACAGACCCATGGGAAGAGAAAGGAGAGAATGCAAGCAGCAGACGCTTACCCTAAACTGTATTGATCAGGCTCAATCAGGGTCCGCCGCTCCATCCTGCCGACACCTAGGTTGGTCTCCACAATGCTGACAGAATGCCTCTGGCGCCGTTCATCATGCAGAGAGACTGGCACCGAGTCAAAAGAAGAATTGCTGACAATACTGGATCGTGAAGAAATTTCACTGTGACCAGAATCTGAAAAGTTATCCACAGTACCACTGGGAGCCAATGTATAACCTGAATGAGAAATGCAAATTCAGTCATTAGACATTTTAGGTTTCTAAAACAGGTCCACCAAAAGAGGAAAAATTAAATGTTAACAATGAAGTAAGGGCTTACTCAAAAACTTATAAACAGGTGATTAAGGATTAAAATTTTACTTTAATAAAGTATAAACTGCCTATTCAATGGTCAGGGAAAACTATCCATTATTATTCACCATAGGTAAAGATGGAGAAACTATGGTATGCCTTGACTGTTCATGCTTCCTTAGCGACAAATCATACTACTGATGGTTAGCTCAAAGACAAAAACACTTTGCCTAGCATGCCTGAGATACCAGTTCCAATCTCAGCAGCATAAAAAAAAAAAAAAAAAAAAAAAAAAAAAAAAAAAAAAAAGGCAAAAAGAGAACTGGCCCTCTGAAACCCTCACAACTAAACTCCATCAGTCTTGGAAGAACAAACTCAACACTCAAACTGTTAGTGAGTGTCTTACTTTCTTTTTTTCTTTTGTTGTTTGTTTCTCAAGACAGGGTTTCTCTGTGTAGCCCTGGCTGTCCTGGAGCTTGCTCTGTAGAACTCAGAGACCCATTTGACTTTGCATCTGAGTACTGGGATGAAAGGTGTGTGCCACCACACCTGCCTGGCTAGAATGTCTTATTTTCAAGGGACATTTTGACTTTTAGAGGATGAAACAAAAGTTCAACAGGATGTGCCCACACATTCTTAAAATTTTAAGTAGACATGTGAATAAAATGGGTAAGACCAGCCAGGCAGTGGTGGAACATGTCATCAACCCCAGTACTCGGGAGGCAGGGGCAGGGGGGGTCTCTGTGAGTTTAGGCCTGGTCTACAGAATAAGGCCTGAAAAAGATATTTTGAGATTTCTGCCATTTATTTCTTCATTAAAAATGTATTAGTTGCATGACCTAAAGATAGTTGTTTTGAAGGATGTAGTGTGCATTTCCCCTGCCCAGCACTGTAAAATGTCTCAATAGATGTCCATTTCCTGGCCTGAAAGAACTCTTAGCTGTTCCTAAAAATAATTCTGAAAGTCACATGGTTGGGGGGAGCTTGTAGTGACATTTTTACATTTTTAATGAACAATTCCTCAATCTTCCTCAGCACTCAATTTTTAAATTTCCATTATGATACTAAGGCTAGTAAACGGATATAATCCTGCGCAATGTAAACTTCTCATCTTCTAAGGCTGGGGTCTTGTTATAGAGCCCAGGTTGGGCTCTACCAGTCTTTCTGTCACAGCTACCTCAGTTTTGGGATTAGGGGTATGCACTATCCCACCTATCATAATATAAAGTATTTCAATGCCACTTAGAAAACAAATACCTGAGAACATCTAAATGGCAAATTCTGTCATATCAGTCCAAAATTGGACCCCAATTTTATTTTGAAAGATAAACAGGTCTTAAGATGCTCATTTATAAGCATGCTCATTTATGGTATGTATTTTTTCCTTTATAAATCACACTGCCAAGTTCCAACAGACAAGGTTAAATCCCTCTTAAAAAGTCTGCCCCAAAGCTTGACACTTGGAGGAATTGTACCATTTTCTTAGCCAGTGAGCCAACTAGCTTTCTTGCCAGGTTTGGTCTCAAAAGCCCTACCCATCCCATAGCTCCCTGGAGCAGTGTTATTCTTGCTCCAGTTCTCAATTCCAAGAGAAAACGAGAAGCTGGGTTAGTCCAATTGCTGGGAGCCAGCAGACCTCAGCTGATATCACTGCTACCTGGCAAGACCTGGAACGATGGAACCCAGATGCACAGGGTTCACTAAAATTTATGTCCTTTTACACTTCTGAAAGGAAAACAGCCTCTTTTACTACTTGCTGACATGAACTTAACGAAAGGCCAGGGGAGGGATCAGTATGGGTAGCTTTGGGAAGAGATTATCATCTATTTTAATCAGAGAAAATATCAACCTAAGGATGGATGTAGTCTCTTCAAAACAAGAAAAGCAATCAAGACCCACATTTGTATAATGAAAAAAAATGAACATTAATTTTTCACATCTTCAAGGTCGCTTCTATATTACTGTTGCATGACTGATTTTCAATATAATTAAAACAAATTTCAATATAAAATAGTTCTCCCTATATTTGTGATGAGTTAAAAAAAAGATTTAAAAAAGTTCGTGTTAATTCAGAACTCAGGAGGCAGAGGCAGGAGGATTGCTGCAAATCTGAGACCAGGCTGGTCTACACGGTCAGGTCAGTTCTGGGCCAGACAGTGCTCATAAATAATAAGACTATCAAAAAACACAAAATACCCCCCAAGTTTTAATTAGTTACACAAGTAAATGCTATCTATTTCTAAGTATAATATTTAAAAGAAATATCAGGGAGGGAGCTGAACCCAGAATTGCAGGAGAAGAAAATGGAACACAGTGAAGCTTAGACAATTCTGAGTCAGAAAAGATGTCTAAGAAGGGGCCTGGAGCTGAGAGACACATTCACTATGTGGCCACCTCTGCTGCTGCGGGGTCAAGCACTAAAGCAGAACATTATCAGAACAGGAATCAGCAGACAGACCATAGTAACAGCAGGAGTATGATAAGGGACTCAGAAGCTGAGGGTTCCCAGTGCCCTCATGACAGCTACGGAGGTGCAGGGACCCAGCAGACTGGTGGTAGAACCTGCTGCAGTACCCCAAAAGAATGAATACAGTGCCAAGGAAGGAGGGCTGGCTGAGAACACAGTACCTTCTACTTCATTTATGTTTGTATTGTTCTTTAATTTTTAGTTTCGTATTATTTATTTTCATTTTACTTGAGTTAAACTTTTTTTTTTTCTTTTGGTTTTTCGAGACAGGATTTCTTTGTGGCTTTGGAGGCTGTCTTGTAGACCAGGCTGGTCTCGAACTCACAGAGATCCGCCTGCCTCTGCCTCCCGAGTGCTGGGATTAAAGGCGTGTGCCACCACTGCCCAGCAACTTAAACTTTTATTATGTATAAATGTACATTTAAGCTTTATTTTTTAGTACATATATGCTTGTACCTTAAGTGTTAAGTTGTTGGGGTGTAACCTATATCTCATTGTAAATTATTTATTTTGAAATTTTTAGTTATTTTATGGGTATGAATGTTTTGTCTTTGTGTGCCTGTGTTTACCATGTGGGTGCCTGGTACCTGAGGAGGAGGCCAGAAGAGGGTATAGAGGCCCTGGAACTGGAGTTACAGATGGCTGTGAGCTGCCATGTGAGTCTTGGGAACTCAACCTGGGTCCTCTGATGGGCAGTGTACCACTGGCTGGTTTTGTGTGCCCATTTGAACAAGCTAGAGTCATCAGAGAGAAAGGAGCCTCAGCTGAGGAAATGCCTCCATGAGATCTAGCTATAAGGCATCTTCTCAATTAGTGATGGATAGGGCAAGGCCCAGCCCATGGTGGGTAGTGCCATCCCTGAGCACCTGGTGGTCCTAGGTGCTGTAGGAAAGCAGGGTGAGCAAGCAAGTAAGCGGTACCCCTCCATGGCCTCTGCATTAGTTCCTGCCTCCAGGTTCCTGCCTTGACTTCCTTTGGTGATGGACAGCAATATGGATGTGTAAGCTGAAACACTTTCCTCCCCAATGTGCTTTTTGGTTATGTGGTTTTGTTGCAGCAATTGAAACCCTAACTAAGACAAGCAGTTAGTGCTCTCACCTGCTGAGCCATCTCTCTAGTCCTGGAGAGTCTCTGCTGCTTTTCTGAATCCTAACCTACACACTTTTTTCTCATTCTTTACTTTTATCCCATCTCTCCTCTCTTGTTTGTTCCTCACTTCACTGTTCAAATACTGATGCTCTTAACACTAAAGAACAACCCTCACTCCCCTAAAAAATACTTTCCCCACAACCAGTATCCAGTGCTGCTCTCTGAACCTAAGAAAGACACAATAAAGAGTACAAGTATCTTCTACAAAAAAGTAATTAGGAAGAGATCAAACTATATTTGTAGGTGACTTGAAAGACACTTCAGACCACACCAGAAAACTTTGAGATTTGATGAACTTTCAGTATAGTAGCAGAATACAAAAAAAAAAAAAAAATCAACATACAAAAATCAGCACTTTTCATATACTAACAGTGAACTTGCTGACAACAAAATTAGGAACGATATCCCATGAATAACAGCATCAAGAGACAATGAGACAACCTAAGAACAAAGCTAACAAAAGAGGCAAAGGACTTCTACAATGAAAACTTTAAGGCAGAGGAATGATATCTACCAAAATTCCAAATGACATTTTCCACAGACTAGAAAAAAAAAGTCCTAAAATTTATGAAACACAAAAGACCACAGAGAGAAAGTCATGCTAAACAGAAGGAATTATCAAAGCACTATCATATCTGATCTCAAACTGTATTCTGGAATCAGAGTGACACCGAGAGCACAGTCCTGGCATAAAATCAGACATGTAGATCAACAGAACAAAACAGAGGACTCAAAAATAAACACAATTACAGCCACCTAATGTGTGTTGAAAACATACATCAGGGATGAGAAAGGCAAAACAACCATTATGAAATTAAGTCCCTATCTCTCATCCTACATGAAAGTCTATCCAAAGTAGATCAAAGACTTTAACATAATATCTAAAATGTTTAAACCGCTTGAGGAAATAATCCACGATGTAGGTATGGGCAATATCTTTCTGATTAGTATTCAAATAGCACCAGAAATAGCCCCAAGCACTGACAAGTAAAATTAGGAAACTCTCCACAAAAATAAAAACTATCAACTGAGTGAACATAGCCTACAGAATGGGAGAAAACCTTTGCCAATTCTATTTTAGACAAGGTTTAATATTTAGACTATATGTAAATCTGGAAAAATTAAACACCCCAAACCAAAATGCCCACCAATAAATGGGCCACTAAACTGGAAGAAAAAAAAAAGTTCTCAAAAGAAACATAACCAATTGGCCAGTAAAAATTCTGAGATTCAACATTCTTAGCCATCAGGGATTGCGATTCTAACTCACCACTGTCAGAATGTCATCAAGAAAACAAATGACAGCCAGTGGTGGTGGTGTATGCCTTTAATTCCAGCACTTGGGAGGCAGACGCAGGCAGATCTCTGAGTTTAAGGCCAGTCTGGTCCAGCAAGTTCCAAGGCAGCCAGGGCTACACAGAGAAAACCTGTTTCAAAAACAACAACAAAAAGAAAGAAAACAAATGACAACAAATCCCAGTGAGGATGTGGGGAAAAGGGACCCTCTTCACCATTTGGAGGAATGTAAACTGGTGAAGCCATTATGGAAATCAGTGTAGAGGTTCCTAAAACAAAATTAAAAATAGAACTGTCAAATGACCTGGCCATCCTTCTTTGGGCATTTACCCATGAGTCCACATCCTACCAGATACTTGCATGCCAAGAAAATGCAGAAGTCTAGATGTCCAGCAGAGGGATAGACAATGAAAATGTGGTACATATACACAATAGAATTTTATCCAGCCATGAAGAAAAATGAAATTATAAAAATTTTAGGAAGTGGGTGAAATTAGAAAATATTATACTTGGTAATATAATCCAAGCTCAGAAAGACAAACACATTTCTTCTAGCCTAGCCTCTAGTCTCTAACTTATAATTTCTTGGGTTTGGCTGTAGCAGGGAATGGATAATCTGAACTTTAATGTGGTGTCAGCAGTCTGACAGCAGGTTAAAAGAAGCCGTAATTTAAAAAATTCCAGCATTCTTGCAAATGTATAGACAGATGGGAAAAATCCATTGTTATATCACATTACATTATTTATATACAGTTGTTCCCCTGGAAGCTCTGCCTCGGCTTCCCCCACCCCCCCACCTAACCCTACCCCTTCAGAAAGCCTGCAAAGCATTGGATCCTCCCTCGGGGCTACTCAAGACCTCTCCTACGCGGTATTTAAGCTCCAGTCCATAGACCTGCCATGTGATTTCTCTCCTGCTCCCCGCCACCCTCTCAGACCACCAGGGAATCTATTGCTCAGATTAAACCTAGCCTTTTACTTTTTAATTTGTCTCAATTTGGCTTATTTCATCAGCAAACAAACCCACTACCAGGGATCCAAAAATACTTATCAACAAAACCAAAACTCCTGTAAGTGTATGGCTCTGGAATCAGCTGGACTAAATGTGTGGATTTGAGAAGGGGCAGCAGTCACTGAGCCCTACCTTTCCTTGGAGAGCTCTGAGGTGAGGTGGGGGGTGATGACAGCTGCGAAGATGCATTTGATATTGTGTCTTCTGCTTGTTTCCTGTGGCGCTCCAAGCTCCCTTCTTCAGACAAGGACAGGATTTTCTTTAAAGCTTGAGGAGAGTTTATGCCTAAAAAAAAGAAATAATTCAGGCACCCATTTTAGAGACTGAAGGGGGCTGAGGTAGCTCAGTGGTAGAACAGCTTCCTACCATGCACCGGCCTTGGCTTCTTCTAGACAAAGAGTAAAGGTGACTGAAAGGAAATTTTAAATATTAAAAGCCATTTTTGTGTCAACATTCTGTATTGCCAGTTTCACTCTATTTATGATCCAAATGTGCTCTTCTGGTGCACAGAACTAGGCTGGGTGTGTGTGTGGCTTAGTTTCTGACTGAGTACTTGATGTTACTAAGATTCTGAGCCTTGGTCATTGCATTTATTCAACTGTGTTTTGTTAATTAACAATGGGCAAGGGTGGGAGGAGTAGCAGTCAGAGAACCGGACAACATTTGAATTGAGAATGAAGGCAGCACATCCCATTTCAATTCCAGATGGCACTCAAGTTTGGATTAAGAACAAGACATTTTGGTATTTTTGGAAATGTCATCTCTGAGGACAAAGGAATTGGTGGGGGTGGGGGCAAAGTAAAGGGTCAAGAGTTAACAGGAACTAACCAAAGGAAGTCAATAAAAGGGCTCTAAAGAGTGGCATGTCATTAATATTTGATCAAATAAAGAGGATAAGAAGGCAGGAGGCAGCCTGTCTTCTGTGGTGCACTCCAGAAGGCCAGGAGAGGTTTCCGAAGGTGGATGGAGACAGCACCAACACGGTACAGAAAATAGAGGAAGCAGAATCACCTATAACAAGGCAGTGAAATAAGAAAGGCATGTTAAAATGCTTTACAAATTCATTATTCTGAGGCTGTTTTTGAACAACAAAGACATTTCTGCAAAGCCCTAATAGCCTGAAAATTCCTTAAGTCAGGGCTGGTTTTAATGGTCATAGACTTAACAGGCCCATTAAAAAGGAGTTGATAGAATTTAAGCCTTCAGTGTTCCTTCTATTAGTGGTTTGATGCTCTTTTGCTTTTCATTTTTTTTATTTTTTGAAACAGAGTCTCACATATCTGAGGCTGGTTTGGAACTCTCTACATAGCTGAGGATGACCTAGAACTTCTGATCCTCTTGCCTCCACTTCCTGAGTTTTTGGATTACTGGCATTAGCAACCACACTCCTAGTTTATGTAGTAGTGGGGATCGAACCCAGGAGTTCATACATGCTAGACAGGCATTCTACAAACTGAGCTCCATTGACAACCTCCCCCCCCCCATGCTGTTTTAATACAATTCTGTTTTTAAAAAATCATCCTTAGAGAACTTCTCTGACTAAATGTGGAAGTATTAATATAAACAGTATGCATAAATAGATCCACTATGACTGTAGTTTCTTCTCTTAAGCTAAGTGTGGTGATACATGCTTTTGGAGGGCAGTGGATCTCTAAGTTTGAAACTAGCATAGTCCACATAGTGAGACCCTGACTCAAAAACAAAAACAGTAACCTCCCCCGCAAAAAACAGGCTATGTTTGTTCATGTATGTGTGTGTCTCCATACAAGCACACTTGGCTTTTTACATCTTCTTATTTATTTGGTGTGTGTGTGTGTGTGTGTATATACCGTGGTGCATGTGTGGTGGTCAGAGGACAACTTGCAGGAGTTGATTCTCCTCCTCCATAATGTAAGGCTTGCTAATGAACATCTTTACCCTCTGAGCCATCTCCCATTTATCTGGTGTGTGGGAGTGGCACACGGATGGAGTGCAGAGGACAACTTGAAGAAATTGGTTCTCTCTTTCTACAATGTGGGCACCAGGGATTGCAACTCAGGTTATTGGGTTTGGTGGCGAGAATCTTTACACACTGAGCCATTCTACTGACCCATGAATGGACAGTTTTGACATGAAGCTATTTCCAGAGTCAGTGTCTCACACAGACACCTTCCATAGACTTCCATTATCTTTCAGTGGCCACAGATAAAAATGCTACCCCTTAGTAGCCATGTTCGTGCTTCAAAGTGGTTCCAGTGATGATCTCTTTATTTTTTAAACAGGGCTTCACTAAGTATCCCCAGCAGGCCTTAAACTTGTTATGCAGTCCAGACAGGTTGTAAACTGACAGTTTTCCTAAATGCTGGGATTACAGGCATGTATGACCACATCCCACAGGGATGACTAAGGTACAAGATGCAAAACTATTTCATGAAATAGCATAGGGAATAAAACCTCTTAATATCTTTAAATTAGTATTTTTTTATAATATGACTTTAGATACATTAAACTTAATATCTTAAGATGACAGGTGACATTTCATCCACATTATGAGGCTCATAAATTCAAATGAACCTAGAAGATATTTTGAGAGACATTCTCTTTGAGAAAATGGGAGACAGCTTTATATTCAGGAACGCCTACCTCACGTTAAATATAGCTAATGGGGTATTTCTAGATAAAAAGAAGAATGACAGTCTTCCATATGCAAAGTTCAGCACAGAAGAGGAGACAGAATCACAAGTGTAGGATTCGGGAATATATGCAGACTGAGAATACAGGTAACAGAAATAATATGTAATGTAATTTGTTTGTCATAAGATGAGCACATATATTTGAAAGGGAAGACATGTCAAGTAAAGATTCTCGTGTTCAGCACATGAAACACACACTGACCAGGAAGAGAATGCAGGTGGGACACACTGCCCCATGTTAACTGGAGAAGTGAGAACCAGTTTCCAAATCCTATTTCTCCAGCCAGCTTTAATACTTTCATTCTAATTGTTTACTGGAAACAGGAACAGTTGTATGGAAAGTCATTCTGCTGTGTTTTCACAGAGAACCAAAGAGTGTGGTACTGCTATGGGAAGAAGATGCAGACTTCCTGGTTATCCAGGCATTAAGCTGTATCCTCTGTCTCCTAAATTACAGAATTAGTGATCAGCAAGTAAGAATCCACCTTCATGTCTGGCATGAGCCTTGATTTGATCCCTAGCACCACGAAGAAAAAAAAAAAAAAAGAGGAAAAAAAATCACTTCAGAGAAATAATTGAACTTAAAGGTATTTTGCCAAAACTTCAATAATTATTGGTCACAAGGCAAAATTTGTTTAAATGATGTGTGTCAATGAGGCAACTTTTGTATCCACTAAAGCTTAAGTTAGTAAGTGTGCAAAGTTGCCTGTGTCATCCCATGAAAGACGACCTTAAAATTAAATTCCAACAGCTCCTACAGAATGGAAGACCATTTCTGCCAACTAGCCATTCAACTGGGATTAATATTCATAATATATAAAGAATGCAGGAAATTAAACACTACAAAACTCAATTAAAAAAGGCAAATGGATTGAACAAATAGTTCTTCAAAGAAGAAATTCAAATGGCCAATAAACACATGAAAAACCTTCAATATGCCTAGCCATAAAGGAAATGAAGATTAAAAACTACAAAACTACATTGAGATTCCATCTAACACTAGTCAGAACAAACACCATCAAGAAAATAGTAAGTACTAGTGAGGATAGGCTTGGAGGAGAACCCTTATACACTCAGATGGACAATCCTGGCAGCCCCTGTGAGGTCAGTTTGGAAGGTCTTCCAAAACTAAACAAGCACCAGCACACGACCCACCTATACCACCCATGCTATCATGGTTCCCACTGCACTCTTCACAATAGCAAAGACATGGACCCAGTATAGACACATATCAATACATGAATAAAGAAAATAAGGACATACATAGAGAGGGTATCATGCAGCCCTACAAAAGAATGAAATTATGTCATTTGTAGAAAAATGGATGGTACCAGATATCCCATTAAGTGAAATAATTCAGATTCAGAAATACAACTATGCAGAATCTTACCGAGGACAGGAGAAGGGGCAGACATTAAAGCAGAATGGGGACTCTGGGAGAGGCTAATGGAAGGGTAAGCAGGACAGGGGAGGGTGATAGAGGTAACCATGACCACAATGTGTTATATTTATGACAAGTGTCATAGTAAAACCCATTATCTTTACAACTAATAGATACTATGAAAAAATGAATTTGTTTATTAAGACAGTCATGAAGCTTAACTGCTGTTTGTTATTAGAAGATGGTCAAAGAGAAATAAAATGCATTAGGCAAAATCATCCAAGATGAACATTATGTCAGCAAATACCACCTGAAAAGCATGACTTTAGAAACTTACCGAAAGGTGGCAGATCCTTCACCGGCACCTTCTTTCGAGAAGGGTAGAGGGACACAGCGGGCACCTGCAGTCCTTGGCTAGCTTTATGTGGTGGCTGCGGCTGTGGCAGTGGCTGCTGAGGCTGCACTTTCTGCTGTGGACCTGCACGCGGAGCCACAGGAGAGGTCTCGGACTTGACAGGCTTTTTGTCACCAGGATTCTTGGGCACTGGTCATTGTTTAGGGTGAAAAAAGAACACAGAGCATAGGTGTCAGCATCACATGGAGACAAGTTCAGGGCTGCAGAGCATGTGCAGCTGGAGCACTGCCTCCCCCACCCCCATGCCTCATCAAGCACAGGGAAGGAGGGGAAACCCTAGCTACTGAGAATGAGGGATGCTAGGGGACAAGGGTATTTGCCTTAGGAAAGAGTGATCTCCAAGAGGATTATACTGCCAAGCATCAAATAAAAATAAAAACAGCGAGGACAGTTCAATGTGATTGGATGTTACAAACTCTTAACACGTGGGCTGGTGAGATGGCTCAGTGGGTAGAGGATGTGGCTGCCCAGCCTGATCACCAGAGCTTGATCCCTGGAACCCATATGGAAGGAGAGAACCAGCTCCCATATGCTGTCCTCTGACCTTCACGGTGCAACACAGCATTTCTGGTGACAACTATCCACATCTTCTATTTTTTAATAACTTATAAATAAATGTTAAAAATAATACATGATAAAAATAAGAATTGTTTTAAAATGGCATCCAAAACTTTGCCCTGAGATAATGCTATTAATTTACTTAAGATCAAATCCTCCTAGGAAGGAGCACTGTCTTTGAACAAACCATGTCCAATGCTGTTTGGGTACTGTACGGTAGAAGGTAGTTTGCAGGAACACTAGGTGCTGTGGACACTTCACGTGCAGACCTCAGAGATCAACAGCTAGGAAACTCAAGCTGCTCATCTAAGCAAGCTCTTCGTCATGTCACATGGGACCTTTATAGTGTTGTGGGTATGGATGTGCACTGAGTGTGTGCCTAGAACCTGCAGAGGCCAGAAAAGGGCACTGGAGACCCCGAAACTGGAGTTTTTGATGGTTATGAGCTACCATATATTCTGGGGAATTGAACATAGTCCTCTGCAAGAACTATGAGTGCTCCTCAACCACTAAGCCATCTCTCCAGTCCTATGCCCTGGTAGATTGGATCATGTGATCTTCTCAAATTATCATTCACACATTTTTAATTAGCAAGAAGATATAATTCAAATTTGCCCCAAAGTTCCCAAAGTGTCCGAAAGGCAAAATGCTTAAACCTTATCATATAGAGACAGACACAAAGGAAAGTGTCCACACAGACTGGCCACATTTTTATTATTCATTTTGACAGTCACATGTCACTATGTTGTCCAGGCTGTCAACTGAAACCCTGAACTCACGTGATCCTCCAACCTTAGCCACCTCAGAGGCTGGAACTGTAGACGTGTGCCACAGCCTGGCCAGTTATTTCAAGGTTGGGAACCTACACATTGGGCTCAGATGTGGTGTGTTGCATACCAGGATCACTGCTTTCAGGGGCAGGTGCTGGTTGTCTGAGTTTAGGGAGACCCAGAGCCAGCACATCCTGACCTGATGATCCCTAACCAGGCTTCCCGTCATTTTAGGAGTTCCTCTGTGAGAAAAAAAGGCATGCAGCTGGAACCACAATCACCTCCATGTCCCTCGCTTGTGGTGCTGGCTGTGTCAGATGAAATCAAGGCAAGGAGATATGAGCCCAGTGTCCCCTTGCTGCACTAACTTAATGACACCAAGACCCAGTCAAGCACAAGCACGGTATATCTCAGGACCACCGTGTGCCTCTTTGCTCGAAGACCCCTTTCGCCACCACCATCATACACAGAACAATCTGCAGTTGATCTGGGGAGGTACTCACAAGTGCTGGTTGCTGGCTCACACTGCAGTGACAGTGTCTGAAGACTCTCCTCATCCATCTCCAGCTCCAAGTTGGACAGATACTGCTTCACTTTCCGGGCCATTTGGGCATCTTCATATAGCTTTTTGGCATTGAGGAAGGAACTACGGCGTACCCGCTTTTTATGTCCGCCTGTCTGAGCAACATCCAACACTGTGGCATTCGCACTGCCCTGGCTCAGCGACCTGGAAGATGAAAAATAAGAATGCAACTCTCTGGAGCATGGTATTGGATGATCTACCAGACTTGTGTAAAGACTCTATGCTTGAAAGGTCACATGCCCCATTCCAGTAAGTAAACTGATACAGGGGAATGCAGAATAACAGAGATTACACAAGATTTGGTTAAAAAAGGAATTATACATAATACATATACACAAATATGCCTGGCAAATGTTCTGCTCCTACCAGCAAATTCTTTTCATCTCACAGAGCATTCAAAGTCCGTTCTCTCACAGAAGCCAGAAAACATAATTGCATATAAAAGCTTGTGCAAGGACACTGAATGATCCTAGTGACAATTAACAAAATTATATTTGCTTCTCCTAATGGGGGCATTTTATATGGACTTAATTAAACTCAGCTACACTGTTCACAATTGCGTTGTTACTCTGTGGGTTGAATGTACAAGTTTTAAAAACAGTCAATCTGTTAATACAACTGTCATGCAAACATAAACATATGTATGGAAACTAGTATATGAATTGTTAAAAATTATTTTTTAAATGGGGCTGATTTACATAGAATGAAAATAGTAGTTAGTTGAGCTGTAGAAAATTTGGTTTTAGGGAGTGGGGGTGCCTAACACCACCACATTCACTTCTGGATCTGTGCAATCGTGTTTTTAGTTGCACGATTTCTTCCTTCTAAAAGCATGCTTCCCTTCCCCACTTCTTTGGCTTTTTCATTTCAAAACACACAAATTATATTAAAATATAATCTTTCTGACAGCCAAGAAATATTTCTGGTCTACATTTTCCCAGAATAATCAATCATTTTCCAGAATAATCATCAATCATTTCACAGCTCTTATGGACCTGACTTCAGCAAAGCCCCAACAGATTAAATCTGAAGTCAGTTTGCATCTGAAATTCTGATAGAGCAAGAGGGTTAAAAAAAAAAAAAAAAAA